AGTGCGATTTACAGTAGTTTTTAAGAAGAGGTGAAAATTGAATAATAATAAAAGTAACGAAATTTTATAATATAGTGATGCTAACCATATATATAGTTTAATGATAGTTTTTTTAATAAAGATAAAAAATTTTAATTTTAAATTATATGACACATGAGTAGGTAAGATAAGAAATAAAAGAGCATTATTGTTTATTATATAATTTAAAATAAAAATATTTTATACTATAATGACATGATTTGAGTTATATTATCTAAAATATTAAAAGTAAAGGCAATATTATTAGATTCTTTTTATTTTATTAAAACTCATAATATTATATAAATAAAAATAAAAATATATATATTTAATGTGATTCAGTCAATCACCAACTCTGTGCCAACAACCGCGGTAACACAGAGGATGTGAAAGTGGTGAACTATGTTTAGACACAAAAACCCAAGGTAATAAAGTCAAATGATTATGCATTGCATGCCCTCACCTTTATTGTGGATGTAGAAGACAAAATGTAAAAATTAAGAGTAATGATCTGCAGGACAATTTTGGGGACGAAACGGAGGATGATAAGTGAAGCAGTTCTAACAATAATTATCAATTTGACCCTGCTTTCACTTGTCGTCCTCCAAAATCGTCATTCAAAATCGTCCCGTAGATAATTACTCAAAAATTAATAACCAGGAAAAAAATAAGAAATCTAAGGATTCTAATTACATTGGTTGAAATTTGATTCAAATTTTAATTTTGTCTTGGTTCTATCGAAGTTTTCCTTAATTTTTTTTATATATTTTAATATTAATTTTTCTCTAAATGATCTTTAATAACATGCCCCTCACATCTGTCCGATAAGTTCAAATAAATTAATTTTTTTAAGTATTAATCATTAAAATTAAACTTAAATTTAGATTACAATATAATATTTATTTATCAGTAAATCTAATATTAACGGTTATTAATTGGTTAATATTATAGAATAATGAATTTTTTTGATAAAATAATTAATTAAAATAAATAAATATTATTTCCTCATGTTATTTATGCTCGAAATTCTTTACTTTTTATTAAAGAAGTCAAGAGAAAAAAAACGATAAAGTGAATGGACAACTAATTAATTTGAGCTTTTAAAAAAGTTATTTTTGTACGTTGAGGAAAAGACTAGGTGGATGGATAACACGTTAAA